CCAGATGCTTGGGATCTGGGATTAATAAGATAGACCTACCATGTATAACTAAGTTTGCAGCATATCATTAACAATTTGCAATAAGCGGATAAAGAATCTCATTGAGATCAGAGCGGCATACATTTAGGAACAAGCTACGGCTCAATTAGCTCTGTTGCGTGTAGAATGCACTATACAAGGAAATGTACTAAATTTACATATTTGAGACAGGGTAGGCAATGTAGATACATTTAGTATCACAATAATAATGGCAGCATTATCTTGATAGTTCTATGTGCTAATTACAAAAGTATGCAATACTGCAAGTACTGTGTTTTATCCTACCAAAAATCTTCAGAAAAATATTCTAGTTCTGAAATAATTAGTTGATTAGTTAACAGTTGCTGGTTCCAGCTTCTCAAGTGTGAGGATTTGCAACTCTTTTAATTATATATAATTGAATATCTTTGGATTTTCAATCAATACAAAGGCATCACTTCGAGTTTTAGAAAACTGTAATGTGCATCTTTATGATTAACTGATAAATTGAACTATGAATCGATAATAAATATTATTGCAGACATAACTATTTAATATCTCACACCTTGTTAATTCTCCTTTTTATGCACAGTGATATTCATTATTCAGTACATCATGTTCAGATTATAATGTTCTCACTTGACGACGTGTGGTAATACCAGGAGTGTCGAGTTATTTGTCTGTGCTCATACGTGTGTGTTGCTTTAGTTCAGGTCATTTGGACAAGTGAGTTCAGTTCCACTTCTTTAATGCTGCAGGGGTTATTAAATGAACATAATCCATACCTACTACAAAACAAGATATAGCTACAAGGAGACATGCTGACATTTGCTATTCATAAAATTTCTTCCAAGGGTGAAATGTCTTAAACATGTTGACACTGCCGATAAGTGCACTAGGGCTGAACGATTTGGAGAAAAATGTAATTGTGATTTTTCTACCAGATATTGCGATTACGATTTGATTTGCGATTTCTTTTTTAATTGAAATTTCGCTAAACTGCCAGTCTATTTTTGACGGAAGCTGCTATTTCTGAGGATCTACTGACAGAAATGCAATATGAAATCCATAACTATGTTTTCAGTGGTGTGTAAATACCTTACATAATAAATCATGATGTTTTTATTACCTTAGATTTTTCATTTATATCTACATAATTGCGGGCACCCCCTTCCGTGGACCTCGCCACGTTGCATCGTCATGTTTCTACAGTATCTGAAAACGGACAAAAAACAGCGCTACAGATTGCGTTTCATCACTAAGTTGTTCTTGTTCTACTTCTGGTAGAATTCAGGCAGTGCAGACACTCATCACAATGTTGAAAACGTACGTTAGAAGAAGAAGAATTAATATTATACTGCAGGGGTCGGCAAATAAGTCTTGCATCGGAGCATTTTCAACCATTAGATGGTGGATGAGGATATAAGCCATAATATTGACAGGGCTCAACGTTAAACTTTTTTGCAACCGGTTTGAAACTTACTGGCCCGAAGACAGTTTTTACTGGCCCTCCTTCCAATAGTTATTTATCAGTGTTACAACAAAACCTTATAAGTTATGTTATACTGTTAACGTGTTTAATCGGTTATTAAATACATCCTGGATATAAACAAACTAAACTAAAATGTAATCACAGTTAAAATTATAAAAAATAAAAAGGTTAACAAAACAATTTACTTTTAAAACTCTCTCTCCTGCTGACAGCCATTTAATAAAAAAAATTTACACAGAGCAGAAGATACAAGTCGCCTTGTGTTTGACAGGTCGCCATGGTAGCGACCTGTCAATCACAAGGTAGTCCCATCTATTTCCCCCTAAATAGGACCATAATTTACTCAATGAACATCATGTTGTGTTGAAGACTTGAAACTAGCGACTGAGACCATAAACTCATTATGAAAGTGTTAACTGAGGTAATAATTCAGCTGAGAAGTAGCAACATTTTACCATTATTTCTAATAGAACCAGTGAACTCGCCCCCTGCTGGCCGTTAGAGAGAATGCAGGTTTAAGTTCCGTCTGCATGGTTTCACTTACAAACCCAGAGGTTGCCGCTTGATTGAGATTAGAGAAATAACAATTGACAACCACTCGTCACGTAACTACTGACTAACAACTGCAGGATGTTGAATTTCTACAATACTACAATCTGCATCTTCTCAATAAGTAGCCCGGGCAGGATGAAAGATAATCCAAACTGTGTCCGCTAAACAAGCTGCTCAGTCTGTGTGAACCTGAACCAACTGATTACACACATACATAAAGGTAAACATCACCGCTCTGGTTCAGGCCAGGATAAAACAAACCGTAGCTGTGATAGCACCCTCGTAATGTTTAATGAGCATCTCTTAGGCACAGTGGCACAATCCTTACCACACACCATAACACACTCCACCTGCCAGGACCTTTGCAGCAGCCAATTAAACCTCAAGCAGCGCTGACATCATGATAAATTAGACCTGCTGTATGTAATTTATATATGTGTTATCATTACTCACAGAGTTGGAACATGATCAAACATCCTCACTTTCCCTCTACACAGCTTTAGAGGGGATTTCTACAGTGTGAGTGTGTGTGTGCAGGGGGGGACTCCCCCTCTTCAATTATTTACAGGAAGCCCTCATGCATCTGTGACTTTCAGCGACAGGCTGAGAAAACCCAGCAAAGCATCACATATCTACTTTCTCTCATCCCTTTGTCTACAACGTCTTTCCTCCTTCCTCTCCATCTTTTTCCTCTTCTGTCCTTCTGTCTACAGTCTTTATCATCCTTCCTCTCTGGCTTCTTTATTCTTCTGTCTGCAACCATTTTCCTTCTTCCTCTCCATCTTTTCCTCTTCAATCTACGACCTTTTCACTCCTTCCTCTCCATCTTTTCCTTTTCTGTCTACAACCATTTTCTTCCTTCAATCTCCATCTTTTCCTCTTCGATCTACAGTCTTCTCCTTTCTCTCCATCTTTTCCTTTTCTGTCTACATTTCCTTCCCTCCTCTCAATTTTTTGTGCTGTCTACAACCATTTTCCTCTCCTTGCCCTTGTCCTATTTCTTCCTCGCCTCCTTTCTTTTCCCTCACATAAAAGTACATCCTTTCTTCTCCCCTCTCCTTTTTTTCAGGATTTGTCCTGGCCTCACTTTTATTCATCTCACCCCCCCTTTCATCTTGCCTCCTCCTTTCTTCTCTCCCCCCGTCCAATCTATCTCCTCCCTTCCCCTCCTCTCTGGCTCCTGTCATCTCCACCCAAAAAATAAAAAATGAAGGGGAGGAAAGAGGGATGATGTCAGGGAGAAGAGGCGTCGAAAGAAGAGTGTGAACTCGCTCTGAAGAGTCAGCGTGGAAATAATTCATATTCCACTCAAGGAGATCTCCTCCTCTTCTTCACTTCCCCTCCACTTAGTCTTCACTACCTCTTTCTTGCCTCTCTCCAATAATGTCTTCTATATTGTTCTGTGTGTCCCTCTCTAATGTCAATGATTTGACAAAGGTTTGACTAATTGAACTTATTTTTAACTGTGCTTGGACCAATGCTGTTCAATTTATATAAGCTTCCTTTAGGCAATATTATTGTGGAAAAACTCCATAAATGTTTACTGTCATACCGATGATACCCAATATCGATCAAGGCAGATTAAACCAACCAGTTAGCTAAACTTCAAGCGTGCCTTAAGGATGTAAAAACCTAGATGACCTGTAATTTTCTTCTGTTAAACTTAGATAAAACTGAAGTTATTGTACTGGGGCCCAAGCACCTATGACACGCAAAAAGATATAGATACTATGGATGGTATCGTCCTGGCCTGCAGCACCATCGTGAGGAATCTCTGAGTTATCTTTAATCAGGACATGTCCTTTAACTCTTCAAACAAACTTCAAGAACCGCCTTTTTTCACCTACATAATATAGCAAAAATCAGGAACATTCCCGTCTCAAAATGAGGCAGAAAAACTAGTTACTTTGTTACTAGGCTGGATTATTGAGAGATCATATTTCTCCCGTTTTAGCTTCTCTGCACTGGCTCCCTGTAAAATCCATGATCCAAATGATTTAAAATCCTTCTGCTCACCTACAAAGCCCTTAATGGTCAGGCACTATCTTATCTGAAAGAGCTCAGAGTACCTTATTACCCCACTTGAACACAGCGCTCCCCGAATGAAGGGTTACTTGTGGTTCTCAGAGTCTCCAAAAGTAGAATGGTAGCCAGCTATCAAGCTCCTCTCCTGTGGAACCAGGTTGAACTTTGGGTTCAGGAGGCAGACACCATCTCCACATTTAAGAGTAGGCTTAGTGGGCTACTGTGTGTTCTTTCCTCCTGCTCTCTTATCTTCATCTTTTCTCATCTCTCTCTCTGTCCAATGCACTTGTCTCCAATCTTCTGTCCAACAAAACCTCAAAAATAAGGTATTTCATATTGTCGTCTTATTGTATCATGCAACACCTGCTCTAACTCAGTATTCTTGTCTCAAAAAGACTCTGACAAGCTTTCCACTGCAACTGGTTTGGACTGTATAATGGAAAAAACAAACTATTTGACGTGGTCACCTCAGACTCTGGGAACATTTGACATTTGTTCACTATTTTGTTCGACCTCTTTAATTTTAGTCGACTGACATACCTTCCTGAATCACTGAAAGTAGATTATTTAAAGTAAGGCCTTATAAGTGATTTGTCAAAACAGGATGATACTTCCATTTGTCTCCTTGAAAGAATTACTACAGCTTAAAACCAAACATGGATGAGCTACACATGGTTTGTAATTAAAGACCCCACAATTTTCCAAAAAGGAAACCTGAGACCTGAGCAGGACTGCCCAAAGCAATGGTGAACACAACAAGCTCTTATTTTCTGGCAGACACATGTAAAAAACGTAGAACAAAACATGTACTCAGGACCATAGGTGTGGACAATTTCTCACTCTTGTGTGTCCATGCTTGCATGCGTACTTTATGTGTCTGCCTGTATGTGTGTGTGTGTGTGTGTGCGCTCACCGATGAGTAGAGGTGACCCTCTCCGTTCATGGCGATGTAGAGGCCAGTCTTGACTGATTGGATGGCCACGACTCTCAGACCCACAGGAATTAAGTTAAACAGAGCTGAGGACAAGAACAGACAAAGTGAGTTTAAGCGTGTGCAGGTGTCCAGTGCATGTGTGTTTCTGCTCTTGAAGTACAGTGCTCTGAGAACCGAAATGTCAGTTGGCCTGTTGCTCAGTTTGGTTTGGTTTAGTTAGAAGAAGCAGCTTGGCCTCGAGGGGCTACTTGCAAAGCTTTTAAACTCAGTGTTTGGCAGAGGAGGATGTCTGCAGAACACTGACTGAACATTCAGACCACTGCTTTAAATATAAATTCTCATCATACTCTAGTTTGTCTCTATTGCTTTATAATTTACAATTAAAGTATTTTATGTAATGACACAAGAAGTGAACAATCAATACTAAATACAAAAAGCAGAGAGGTTCTTGAGGTTCAGTTACATCCGTATTTTTCAAAAGGGATGAGGCTATAGGCTAATCTATATACAGTGTAGTTATATAAGTTATCACATTGCCACTAATTTGTTTCATCACAGTAACCACACATTACAATATAAAAATGTGTTTTATATCAGTCGAGTCGTAGAAATAGTCTTTATTGGATTTTAATGCCATAAGACAAAATAAAACATACGTAGCCCTTGTGTTCTGCTGGCCTCGACTTCCTCATTTAGACAAGTTTGTGCAGTTAAGAGGGCTTGCTGAAAAAGACTTGAAGATTAACTTCATGGAAAAAGAAAGTGAGAACAACAATGTTCCTGTATTATATTTTGTCTGTGGTCATTCTTCCGTAAGATTTTAATATCAGCCTATTCTTCTCTGTATTTTCAAATCTTTCCTCATGCTCTCAGCTCCATCGGGTCAGTGTTATTTGAAGAACAGCAGTCTGATGGTAAAGGAACAGACAGCTGATCACACCCTCATAGCCTTGGGCAGGTATTTTAAAAGACAATGCCAGTGTCACTGGTGTCTATGTTCACTTCCTGCAATCCTTTACTGTCTTGTATCTTTTTAGATTTATTCCAGCTATAAGAAATTTCCCATTTTTCTTTTTTACTAGTATTTTGAGGCAATTACTGTAAAAAGTCAAGCTTCCATATCCATTATCTTAACATTAAGATATCGAACAAGGAAAATCATGTTATCGATTGAATAAAAGTTGTTTACAAGCAGCGAGTCAGAAAGACTGCTCTCACAGGGTTGTGTTAATGATATTTAAAAATGTCTCGCATGTTAATAAATAAAAATACATGTTTATAGCCTGATAGCAGCAGCGGGACACAACCACTGAAGCTGTTTTGTATGACATTTTTTAATTGAAGGTATGTGAACAAACCAATGGAGGTTTAGCAGAAGTGCTTTATAAACATCTTTCATAATAGTCCATAAAAGTCAGAATTAACATTTAATTAACATAAGAAATGAGCAAATATTACCCAGTATTGACATTTTACGTAATCAAATGAAAAACAACTCTGGCTTTCTGAAAACTCAAGGAAGTAGGAGCTGCTAAAAGACAATAATGGAGCATGAAAATGATCATTATTATTATTATGTTTACATCGTGATATATCCCTGAATTGTGTGAATGTGAAAATGAAACAAATATTAAGTCAATTATTGGCCTAATTAGTTGTGACCTTTCAAGGTTGAAATTCTCTCTCTGAACCTGCTGGCTGCCCATACAGTCGACTTATGACAAAAATCAATGTCAAACTACAACCCCTGCCTCAATCTGTACACTCAATATATTAGTGCACATCTTTAGAAAATTCAGACAGAATTGTTTAATCTAATAATTGTCCAAGGTAAATGTTTATAAATGCCTAATATCCTGATGTTTTGTTATAGCTGCAGCCTCAAACAAATTAAATCTCAGGATAAACCTGTGCAGTGAACTGAGGATGGGTTGCACAAGTTTCTGAGTTCACGAAAAACATGTTTTTCTTCTTAGTCCTGGTGGCGTCTATGCAAACTGTGTTTTTTTGTTGTCTATGTCTTTGAGTCAACCCAGCTTATCCAGGTTTATTCGCTGTCTTCATTTGTAGACATCTGAAATATTAAAATGTTCTTTAAGATTTGTTTTTCTTTAAGGTTATCTCCAGAGGTTGTTGTCTGACCTTCCTCCCCCTCTACCTTACCAAACCTCGCATGTTGGAAAAAACACTTATTTTACATTGCTTATTCAGTATTATTTACTTCCAGCTTTCTTTTAATTGTGTGCATCTTGAAACACATGCTTTTGTTTAATGCTTATTTATATAGGGTATAGGTATATACAAGTGTATAGCATGAACCAATGTCACTTGACACAGCATTTTATTTTTAATTTTGAGTCTTTAAAATAACAAAAACTCAACAATTAAAAACATACAAAACACTGTTTGTCCCGTTTAAGGGATGTTTTCATCAGTTATTGATGGTGTAATTTTGTGGTGTTTGTGACTTGACTCCTTTGTTAGTTAATTGTTACAGAGGTTGCAGACTGTAGCTCAAGTATAAAGAAGTTAATTATTTCATTTTGTGAGTTTGATGCCGGGAGAATGTTGCAGCTCCAGTAAACTTAGTGCAGACAGTGTGTGGGAATTAACTGCTCCATTGATTTAATTTGCCCAGGTGTTATCTGAAATGTCTGCTTTCACCTCTGTACAACGGAGATGAACAGAATCTTGTTTATGCTGCTCATAACATTGGTAAAACTCATCAGCGTCTTTCCTAAAACACTGTCCTATTGTCACTGGATAATCCACAGAAACCACTGTAATCAGTTTTAATTTTCTCTTAAGTTTGATACTTTTGTCCAATAATGCCCTTATTCGCTTACACAACTAACAACTAATTGCTCCATGTGTTGAAGATATGGTAGTCTAAACACTTGACTCTTACTTAATCTTTTAAATTGTGTTTTTGCACATTGTTACCCTCTCCATTACGAAGAGATAGACTGAAATGATGACGTGATTAAAGACGGTTGATTTCATTCAGCCACTGTAAAACTTAAAAGAAGCACCAGCTACCAAAATGTGGGCTGTTAATATTAATTAATTAAAAACCAAACATTATGTGGGAAGCATCCCTTCCAGTGTGCTTATTCTGTTTTGAACAGACTTTATTGACACTGTCACCAAGGTCAGGTACAGTATGAAGAACAGCAGAGGATTATCCAAAGACAGTCAGTGCCAGTTTTGTATTAAATGCAGAAAGAAATACACACATAGATATTATTGTGTAATTGATACGTTATAAAATCATAACATAACAATGACCTGTAATGAAGGCTGTGGCAGTGGACGTGCTATTTGGGACCAACAGCCCTTCTGGTTTTCTTTCTAATCAAAGGCTGATTACACCTGGGATTACACCCTCATTAACCAAGCTTGCACAGAAATGGCTGTTAAATCTCTAACAACCATCATTTACAGTGTTCAGAGTTGAGCAGAAGAAATTGATCAAATATGAGTAAGTACACCTGCAAGTAATCATCCTTGATAAATATCACATTTCCTTAATAACTATCATGCTCACGCACAGCCTTCATTAACATAAAGATATGCACCAGCTGATTAGAAATGGTGACAACCCTCCCTTTAAATGCTGCAGGAAATGTCACTGATGTCTCCCCTCTGCTGAGCAAGGCTCGGCCAGACACACTGACAAACAAATGGAAAATGAAGCCTGGCAACGAGTGTGAGCTGCAGTAAATTCTGTCTGATCCACACGCCGAGCTGTGGCAGAAATGTGAAAAATGGTGGCGTGAAGACGTTCGCCAGAAATTGATGTGAAAAAAAAAGAAGAAATCATAGTAAACAAGATGGACATTGTTGCACCACGCAAATGGCAGAGAGCAGCCAGCTCAGCCAATGTGGAAAGGACACTTTGGACATGTGAGTTGCCTGCTGTAGTGATTACTGATTAGCTTTTGATTTTTTCTCAGCCTAGCACATCAGAGTATGGCAAAGGCTATATTAATCAATAAGACATTCATCTGCGGCTCCTCCCTGAGGTCAGTGTTGGGTGCAGAGGTCCAATAAACTAGGCACTTAAAAAACTAAAACAGCCACTTGTCGCTTTCAGTCGAAGACTTGGTGTGCTCTCCGAAAACACGGCCGGGACATAATGTCCCGAATGGAGCCACTATGACAACACTATTACTGTCTCATTACTGTTACTGCTGTTATGAATGCAAATACCAACATTAGAAATGACTGTCAGTCATTTAGATCAATATGCTTGAATGGTAGATGGTGTGGCCGGACAACTACTTTCAACTCTGTAACAATTTTCATATAAGATCCTTCTATCTCTCAACCTTCATCAAATCAGGTGAAGTCGAGGAATGGATCATTTGTAAAAAACAATTTAGCCTTGAGACTTTTCCTTTGCTATGATGAAATTTTTTGGCTGCAACTTGTTTCCAGCATCGCCAAGACATTCACACTGAAACTCGTCTTAGGAATGGTTGCACACACAGTTCACACATGCTTTCAGTCAAGTCGTGTGGGTCCTGGTAAAAGCAACTGACTACTTACTGTATAATAGAAAGTCAGCAGGGCTCTGTGTACTCAGTTCTTGGAACTACTGTACAACAACACATACTTTTTTGTGGTCAACCATCTGAGGCAGAACTGAAGGTGTAATCCAAAAACGCAGTCTGCAGGAATCCCTGTGTCTACTCACAGGAGTTGGTGCTGTCGTCTTTGGTCCCATCCATACTTCCATCCTGGCCCATCTGGAGATAGAAGCCCTGCCTGCAGAACAACCTGGTCACTATGCCCTTCAGCTGTGGTTCTACACAACACAAACACAGACAAAGACCCAGGGAGAAGAATAGTTGAAAAGGACTGATCTTCAAATCACATCATGTCACCCTTACATGTGAATGAGCAAATGAAAATAAAACGAAGCAACATGCATAATAAGATTTGTCAGCTTCAACAGAACGATTTATAAATGATTTATCCACAAATGAATCCCCAGAAATCAATTTATGCACAAATCCTGGAAGGCACATACAGTTTGGCATTAAAGAACAATGTGGCCACATGCTGCATCCGGAGGGATTTCCCACAGAGAGACTAGTCAGGCACATCCAATCCATTACAGGTTTCTTGGACTAATCCTTCCTTCGTGGTCATTGTTCCATTTGAATAACATTGGTAAATTATTTCTGAACCTCTGATGGTGTAGAGCAGCTGCATAGTGGCTTCGGATCTACCATATTGTGTTTCCTATTTATCTGTTCAGCGATATATTGGTTCATAGTTTTGATTCCGTTAAACAAAACCTAGATAATTGTATGGATCTCTAAAGGTTTCTCCCAACCTAAAGCAGTTTATCTATTAAATGTTAAAAGACAGACATGACTATATTGTATTAAAAATACTGTAACAAATATTTTAAATGCAGATGCAAATGTTTTAATTCTTAGTTACTGGATGCGGCCAACCAAACAGCCGTCACCTTTGCTTCTCCCTGTTTTGTTCTTGCATCTCGCCACCACGTCCCAAATAACTGTAAAACAAAATGAGTACAGCTGCTCAGAATGAGAGACGGTAAGAACAAATGACAAAGGGGACAGGAGGGAGCAGAGGGACGAAGACTGACTGAGTCACTAGATAAAGATGGAGAGCGAGACACCTGCATTAAGTGATGTAACAGTGGTGCTTCTTCGGCAGGTATACACACACACACACACACACACACACACACACACACACACTTTTCCATTCTATCATCATTATTCTCTGTAGATAGATGGCACCCGTTTTCCACACAAACACACACTCACGTTGGTTGGTGACACTAATTATTTAACATGGCTCCTCACAGACACTTACATGTGACCACACCCATTCTCTCTCTATAAAACACACGTCGGTGACTTCGCCTTCGTCTGCGCAGCTAAAGCAGGGTGAGAATCCCCTTTGAAGACGTGTGTGTGAATTTGTAAAAGGTATACCCTAATGCACAGACACTGACCCAATTCATGGTTTGTGTGTGTGTGTGTGTGTGTGTGTGTGTGTGTGTGTGTGAGAATGAGAGAGAGAAGCACGGGTGTTTTCCATCTTTGTGAAGGATCCATCTTGTGCAGCAGGGGAGAAGGAGGGAAGAGGAGCTGTGAAGCTTGCAACCAGCGCTCGAACTGACAAAATTCCCAGCACACTGCTTAGCATGTTGTGTAGTGAAGTCAGTAATAAATCTCAGCTCGACTAGAAAGACAGCTATTGCATTTGCCGGCAAGGATCTCCCAACACTAGGAGGAGCATGGTTATGCACACATCAAGGCATGCAAGGCTATTGTAAATGATTCATTATGTACTTATTGAATTGTTAAATGTTTTGACATGTTTGTCACCCTGGACAGGTTGGAGTGGTGACCATTTGTACAATCTTTGACCTGATGAAGATCCAACTGTGTTTTCTAGTCAGTGCAGTTGAACTCTTTACACCAAAGGATCACCCACCAAACCACTAGGGCAAGGTCTCAAGCCTCAATGCTTCTTTTGTATACTGCAGACCAAAATGTGTCTGTAGCACTAAAAATTGAAAGCTGTTGATACCAAAAGCTGGCATTGAATGTCCAGTCAGATTGGCAGTCTTATTTAATTATTCTTTAAAAACCTCTTTACATTTCATTTTGCCAGAATTTACACTGTATTTTATTTATGCAAACTTCTTTATCATTGTTCTGCTTTTCTCTATTTCACATAATTGTAAATTCAATATTTTGACTGTTAACAGTTTGACAACAGCTTAGAAACTGTGATGAGCATTTTTTCATTCTGACATAACATACTGCATACTAATTCATAATGAAAATATTTGATAATTGCAGGCCTGTACACAAACACTCCTCACTTCAACTGCATTTTCATTTCCTCAATCTTCCTCTTATCATTCCAACGGACAGCTTATGTTGCGTATTTCTTGCTGGTTTATGATTCAAAATACCGACCAGCTTCGGTCTGAACAGAACAGAAATCACCATACGCTGCCCACTGTGAAATCAGTCACATTTCACTCTCTGTTCTTGTTTGTGTGACACATGACCAGAGGAAGCTGCTGGAAATGTCATTTATTATCTTTTTGTAGAATGTGTCATGTTTTCTGTATTTCATATGTCAGTTTTTAATTTATAAAAGTTCATTTTAAACGTATTATAGTACTTTAAATGTTACTGAATTAGATCTAAAGGCACAAAGGAGAGTGTACCTTTCCATCTATACATCAGTGTTTCTTTTGGGTTCAAAACCTGTGTGATATGGATATATTACAGCAGGTGCATTTCAGTGGAGGCTTGTAATATCAGAATACCTTTCCTGGCTGGTGTTGTGACTCAGCCGGTGGGAATTTTCAAGGCCTCGCAATAAATTTTCTATGACGGGTTTGAAGAAAAACATTTATATTTCTCAAGGTAACATATGGGGGGAAATGTATTTTGATATCGATACAGAAACTAAGTTTATCGCATCGGCACAAGTATCATACATTAGAATCAATCTCCAACCCTAACCCACCGAAACTAATCAATAACTTTTTTCCAGAGGCCAACATTTGGAAGTTAAGGTCACTGTACAACATCAGGTTTATTTATCAAACCTTTTCCTTCATGGCCACCATGCACTCTCTGAATGATTAAGTTCAAAATGCCATCTTGTACTGTGACTTCTGTTCAAAGTTACTGATTCATTACACTTGTGGCCTAATTTTAAATAAGAAATTAAATAATTTACAATAAGAAGCACCATTTTTTATTTACATGCTGAATTATCACGATCATGAATTTGAGCTGAATATAATTAAATTGAGAATAATTTCTTAAAAATATATTAATAAATAAACAATCAAGCAACTCACAGTCTAGTCCAGAATCTCAAACAGGTCAAACTGTAATGAATTAGGACTAACATTAGATTTTAGCCAACATATTAAAAGGAAATATAATGCATTGATACATGTACATGTTATTACATTTAGGTTATGTGATGTAATTTATCATCATTCATATAGATATTTGATCACATCATCCAGCCCTATTATGAGTACAATTACAGTCTCAAATGGATGTTATTGTTGGTGTTTGTATAACACCCTGCTGTAATGGATAAAAAAAAATCAGTAACTCTCCACAGGGGAGTGTCCTGCTGCATCTACTCAGCATCAGCTCATTATCTATTTATGTGTCTATTGATCCGATCTCAGATCCAGTTTTTCCATTAACTAATTTTCCAATCTGATGTGCCCACTTGCTGCCACAGTAACATTCCCTCAACTCCTCAAGGTGAAATTCCCACTCTTCCCAGCATTTCCACACATCCCGTCTGTTACTAGGGAAATTCCCATCCTCGCGTTGCCACGACAACGGTCTCGTGATTCCAGACTGTTCCAGTGGAAAGGTATTCCCCCATCCACACACACACACACACACACACACACACACACACACACACACACACACAGCTATATCTCCACCGTAATGTGAACTGATTCAATCAGTCAGCCTGTCAAGAGGCCACGCGGATGTGACATGTCATATTGTCTGTTAATTCGCCCCAGTCTGTGTCTAAATACAGTGTTTAATACGGTATCAAATATCAACATGGGTGTTTCTTACAAGTGATGCATTTACAACCTTCTCTCTCTTTCCTTTCACAGACACACACACCAAACAACAGCACCCAAGTGAGGAATTTACAAGCAGCAGCTGAATGCAACCATTTCATCCTCATTTACATTAGAGTTATTAGTAATTAGAGAACCACTTAGGGTGCTGAAAAGGGCACATTTCTTTTAAAAATACACTGTTAAACCATTTAGATCTGCTTCGGCTATGTACATGTCCTTCACCTCTTGCAACGATGCAGTTTGTTTGTTCATGTATGTACTAATAATAAAACCACATTTCATCATTGTCTTTTCTTTCATGCTGTATCATCAGGATACTTTTTCAGAGGCTTTTCCAGCCTTGACAAGAAAACAATTCTGAGGGAAGCACCAGTGTTATCTACTGATATTATCCATTCCTGTTTATCATTACGCACTGATTGAAAGGCAAAGGGAACACCATGTACGGATAGCCAGTCCATCACAGAGATAACATACAGACAAACAGACGTGACACTGTTAAATACAGCAAAGCCGCATTGAATAACTTTAATCACTATAAGGGGCTTTGATGTGAGAAATGTTGATTGGTTTCCGCATCTGTGGAACCCATTTTAGTAACAGAGATTCTTCATCTATCCATTTTCAAGCTGTTTTCGGGATCATGTGGCAATGTGGCAGCAGAGCAGCCTTTTTATTTAGTATCTTCCCCTCGTTCCTCCTGGGGGATCTCAAGGTGATCTGAGACCAGCTGGGAGAAGTTTTCCCTAATATATTTCCTGGGTAAACAATTTTTACACTGAGGTATCCTTACCAAGTGCCTGAAACTGTGCAACCAGCTCATCTCAATATATATAATATAATATTCCCCTTTTAGGTCCTCCTGCATCACTAAACTCCTCATCTCAGCAGTGATTCCTGCCGTATCCATAATCTCATCCTCTCTGTCACTATACAGAGTTCATGACCGCGGGTGACAGTGGGGACACAACGTCAAGAAATCGGCAAATCAAGAGCTCTGTGGTTCTGCTCCCTCTTCAGAGCATCTCATGCACGTCACATAAAGATACGACCCGAGAGACACCTCAACCATGTGATCTGAACCTAATTCCAACAATATTGCATTACACAGGTAGATTAGCTGATTTTCTTTTTAAATCATCTTTGGGGTTGGGGCTGTAAAA